TTTTAATTTTTAAATATAGCCAAACACCAAAAAAATTATTTCAACTTACTTATAATGTTTTATAAAATTTGTTGATTGCGATTTATGATGAAATTCATTGCCAATTATTTTACATTCTGTGACACACATTGAAGCGGTCTTTCCATTAAATTTTTTCCTCTTTTTGGCTGTAAAAGGCATTCGGCGTTATATTTCAAGCGGAGTCAGCTTTCTGCTGTGCAGTACAAACCCTTGCAACAAAACGCGCATTACGCAAACGGGCGCACCGGAGATAAAAAACAGCTCACTGCAAACCGATCACGTACCGAGCTTGTGACATTTATGTATAAAAAGATAGAAAAACAAAAAAAATAGAACACGAATTTATTTATTAGCCTATAAAGTTTTATACAAAATGGACAAACAGTAACAAGTCGAATTTGCACGGATTTTTTGTTTGAAATAAAACAGAAGTATCAACATGTAATAAGGGACGGCCAGGAGTCAAACACGCCTAATATCTTATTTTTAATTTTGAAAGGATTTTACCCGATTTATTTTATTTTATAGGTACATTTTTACAGAGGTCAAAACCGCTTCTTAGAAAAATTGGTTGATAAAATAATTGTAAAATTGATTTTTTACTCAATTCTCACTTTTTTGCTAGGATAAAGGTTCAATTGATCCTAATCTTAATCTGTACCAAATCGAAGTCAAGCGCGAAATTCAACTGAACAAATACTTTTTAGGTTTTGATTTATATTTTTAAAAAGATTCTTGATTCTTCGAAAGCAGAGCATTTGCGAGAATTCTCTTAAAAAAATATTAGAAAGTTTTGTAGAAGATTAAATCATTTTGATATCTAGCATTCCTAGACCTATCTTGCCAAGACAATAGTATTCTTGTAAAAATTTATTATTTATTACTAATTAATACTCGTCAGGGTTGTAAAATAGCTCAAAATAAGCTCAATTTACTATTTTTTATTGTTCACATATTCGCCAAGGTAAAGGTTCAGTTGGTCTTGATATTGATTTGTGACAAATTGAATTCAAGCACCAAATTCAACTTTAGGAATACTTTTTGGTTTTATTTTTTTTTTATTTGAAAATTTGCTTTATTTGACTTAAATACATACATTGATTTTTACATAAAGATACAAATTGTATACACATATTCTGGGAATATAATTTACCTATCATAATATAATATTGTTTGCATATATATAATTGTTTTAATTAACTTATATAAGTAAGAAAAGAGCTTTTAAAAACATACTGCCATCAAGTATTGGGTTCAGATTTAAATTTAGTGTTAAAAATATAGTGATATTTAGATGCAATTTATGCAGAACTTTTGCAGAAATTTTTGTGGAAGAATCAATCATTTTGATATCTAGATTTTATTATTAATTAACTATAGATTAATTGTTTCATTGACTTAGTAATTCATTAGTTTGTAAGAATTTTTGTAAATAATAGCCATGTCTTATCAATTAATTAAAAGAAACAAAACCTTATTTTGAGAATTTTCATTTTCAAAGAACTCAAATAACATTAGCGCATGTTGTAAGTATTAGATTTTATACAATATATTTTTAATAGATTTATTCTACAAAATCATTATGTTTTCATCATATTCATATTCAAAGAGTAGACAAAAGGCAAAAATCAATTCGTTACGTTGACGACAAAATCATGAATAATATTAAGTTCTTTTCACCGCGGTTTTCATAAACAAAAGGTGTTGATCAATCTTTTATGTTTTCAATTCACTCCGAACAAACTGGATAAATTGAATAGGTCATGCATAACCATGAACTCCGTTTGTTATTTTAAACGGATATATTGAAAGAGCCATAAAGAGCATCATTTATCAATACTTATTGCGAGAGCTGATTTAGCTAAAAAGTTCGAAAATACTTTATCGAGTTTTGAAGATGGAGAAACGTTTTGTATTTAAGCTGCGAATGAAATACAAATGATGCAAATTACAGTATAATGTGATTGTTCTGATGAAAATATTTATTTTTGGTGTTCCCATTACATTCACTATCCAATCATATTTTTGACCTGTAATTTACGCGGCTCGAGTTTGAAGAATATATTTTCTTAGAATATATATATATATATATATATATATATATATATATATATACGAATTAATAATTGAAAGACAACATTACGATATAAGGAAATAAATTTATACTAGGAAATACAGCAATAAATGGTTTAGGTTTTAGGTTTTATTACTGCTATCCTGAATGGAGAGTATCATAATATATTTATATAATTTAGTTATATCCTAATTTAATTAGTATGATGACGCATGTTTATGATTAAAACGTACTAAAGGCATAATTGTGGATATTTTGTTTATCAACGTTTTCTTTATCATTCTACATCAAAAATGTAAAAAGAGCGAAGAGTGTGTGTGTGCATATTTTATTATAATTATACTTTTACAATATTATTATTTGCCTTGTATCTATTTTCAAGAGAACGTATTTTTTCAAGATAAAACCAATAAAATTGATTCATATTGATTATTTATGGCTTCTCTCTAACTTGAAGCTCTCTATTATTTAGAACTAAAACTAATTTTTCATAGAAAAAGTCTCATATTTTTAAAAATTTAACTTGTTTATAAATTTAAATTTATTTGTAGTAAAATTACTATGATAGCCCTAAATGCATCAATATTTATGATTCAAATATTTTCAGAATAATTTGATTAAAGCAGTTGAATTTTAATATTTACATATGAGCGGCCTATGTAATAACCTGTCTGGATCACATTAGCCTCTCGATTATTTTGACTGAATGCTCATGTTTAATATTTAAAAATTACTATGATGTGTATTATTTTTAAATTTCATTTCTGAAAACACATATCTTTAGGTACATATCGTTATTATACGAACTATTTGAATATGAAAGCTTAACCGATCGTAACACAGTAAACGTTGAAATAAATTACGCCCGATTTGACAAGACGCTTCTCGTGCACAACAACAATTCAATACGTTTTTCTGATATTTCCATTTGCTTTTGCAAAACCGATTTCCTTTCAGAGAGAACTTTGTTGCATTACACAACGCTATTTGTGGATATACCAAGACGGCGCGATTATTTACATATAAGTTTTCCACAAAACTAATTGGTAAAATATAGTTTTCAATAGAAGGAGAATATATTAAAATTTCATCTATTTTAGATATTCCAACTGCTTGATAGAAGGTTGTCCGAGACAAAAATTAAACCTAGAACGTTGTAAAAAAGACAAAGCTCTTACCACAAAACCGCGAATGAGCCCAATTATAAAATTAAAATTAAATATGTTAAAATAAGTTTCCACAAGTGCAGTACAATAACATAATTCAAAAATATTTCATCAATCACGCATAAATCTATCTACAAGTTCAATAAATCCAAATGGACACATTTGCAAACTCTAAAACTTCAATATAAAAATCTGATTACAATAATATGAATACGATGCATAAAATAATTTTACAACGTGACAGAAAATTTTCCCACATTCAGCAAGAAAAATATCGTACGTTTTATTAGAAATAGTATAAATACGTCAGTCAAATCAAATGCACAATTGATTTTATTATTTGAAAATATATATTTCATGGAATCGAAAAGTTTAATAAAATTAAATGCATTTTTCAAATTCGTAAAACGGTTATTTGTGTAAGCGATGGCTTTCATTCGAGCTTTAACAGATGGAAACAATATCAATTTATATGATTGAATTGCGTACAATAACACTTGAAACATGTATTATATATCATTCTTGGGAAACCGCAAAGAAAGCAAATAGAAGCAAGTATCTTCGGCAAAGGAAAATATGTCAATAGAATTCGCCAAATAGATAAAGTTTGTGATTGAATTAACTTTATGAGAGGTAAGAATAATTGCGAATTAATATGAATATCCCATAGCATAAAATATTGTATTATAGGCAAATACATGCATATAAGTGAAAATATAAAAATTAATTAGAAGTTTGAGATTTTTTTCACAATTATTCGTGAACCAAAATTATTTAATTATGTAATTGAGCTCTTATCATTAATCTCACAAAAATAGATACTAAAAAAATTATAATTTATCTTTGTATAGGTATTTGGAATTGTTAAATACACATAAGCTATTTAATGATTGTTGGTACAATCAATGAAATGTGGTCTTTTTTGGGGAATTGTTAACTTTTTCTATTTTTTGCCCAAATATATTTATGCTTAGCTAATATAAAATATATAACGGTAAAATTATATAACCATTGTTGGAGTGTAATACCCTCGGGTGAAAACCCCACATATTAAAAAAAACATTGTTGGTTGCAACCCTACACCTAAATTTTTATTTAAAAAATAAGTAGAGCATTTGTAATATCAATTACTTATCGATCAGGACATCCGAAGCAGGAAGCAGAAATTGTAAATTTGGTATATATCTAATATTTTGTAATACTGAAAAATGTCCAATGCCGATGGTTGGTCATGTTTACTTGGAAACATTTTGTTATCTAAATTTATAAACAAAAATCTATACCATTACTGATTGATATCAGGATATCCGAAGCAGGTAGCAGAAATTGTAAACTTGGTATCCCTAGTATTTTGTAATACAGAAATATTTCCAATGCCAAAAGAGATCTATGTTTACTGGGAAACATATTGATATCTAAATTTACAAATAAAAATCGATGTCATTACTGACATATCAGGACGTCTGAAGCAGTAAGCAGAAATTGTAAACATGGCATGCCTAATATTTTGTAACACTAAAGAATTTCCAATGCTGAAAGAAATCTATGTTTACTTGGAAACATATTGATACTCATTACTAACATGTCAGGACGTCCGAACAGTAAGCAGAAAGTGTAAAGTGAAACATGGTACGACTAATATTTTGTAATACTGAAAGATTTCCTATGCCGAAAGAGGCCTATGCTTACATGGAAACATATTGATATCTAAATTGACAAACAAAAATCTATGTCATTACTCTATCTATGTCCAAATCAGGAATAGAACTTACAACCTCTAAAAAGAAGTCCATAACTACAACCGCAATGCCGCGGGGTAGCTCGGAATATCTATATATAAATAAATTATTCATAAATGCATCAATCTGTTGACAAAATTGTATCTCTTATACATTTGGTACATATGACAGTTCTGGTATACGACGCACTATGCATTCCGAACGTCAAATACACAGTGTAACATGTGCACGCCTGAAGTATAAATATTTTATTTGCAAATTCAATGGCCAAGGCATGAACATTTAATACCGAAAAGAACGGGAAACGGATATATATATGTATATATATATATATATATATAAAGGAATTTTATATCCGTGTGTGTACTTTGGGGTATATACGTGTACTTTAATTTTACGACATGATTTCGGTATTCATGGCGACGTTTTTCTGCATTTTACTCAAAACCACAATCTATCACACGCGTTGTATATGCTGATGAGATATTTTAGTGGCTACGTATCCTTACACTTACACTTACGTTGGCACATAAATATTTATATAGAAAAGCAATAACCTTGCTATCCATTTCTTTGTTGAATTGATGCAAAAAGTAATTTATAACCAGTAAAATTAAAATCTGGTACTTTTGAATCGTCACGTCTAACAACACATATACATACACACACACATATATATATATATATATATATATACATAATAAAGGATTCTACATAATTTCAACCATCTATAAAACCCACCATACCTTTTTTTGAATTCATTGCTTGCATTTGCTTCGGCGTTTTCCAAGTACCTACTTCCATATGCAGCTATTACTGCACATAATCAAACTTTACTGGCAGCAGTAGAGCAAACTACATTTCGTCAAAATCATATTCGATATATGAATATGCATTTAGTAGCAGGCATATCAAAACGGAAAATTATTTGCTTTCATTGCATATCACACAGCTCTGAGCTATGAAGTATTTCGAACCGAGTTCGTTTGCTACTATGGTAGTTTCATTACTATATCATGAAGAAGGAAAAACACTTGACATTTTTCCGATAGGTGTTATTTGAGTAGGCAATTGCTTCCTTTTATTGATATTATGGTTACACTCTTGCGGCAGTTCTAGTCCTGGTTGCAAAAATGCTTAAAAAATAATTATTATATTTGCTCGTTCTATGGTGTAATAGTTAAGCTCACGAACTCGTGTGGGCGAAGTCATGAGTTCGAACACCGTTCTTCACAACATGATATTATGCAATAGCGATGTTCATTTTCACTTGGAAGTATAGATCAAAAATATGCTTCCTATTTAAAAAGTAAACTGGCAATAGGCAATGTGTGAGATCTCACACTATTTTTCCCTGAATTGAGTTGGAGTTTTTCTCAGCTTACGAACCTGCCCTAGAGCAGTACTATTCATTAGATGCTCGTTAAAAACCTGATGTTTCATGCATTTGGAATATTTGCAATTTCAACTTGTTTACAAAACTACGAAATTTTGACTTGTTTTTAGAACCACGATACAATGTATGTCAATTACTAGCAACTTTGCATACGCTGATTTAGTTGCTTTCACAGGTTTTCCTATACTTCGTCGTAGTTTATAAAAAAAACGACAAACTCGTGGAAATAATCGGAGCTGACCAATGTGTAATCATAGAACATTTTCAGGTAAACACCTATGAAAATAAATACTTTTGTAGACAGATGTAAATATAATATGAAGTATTTTTTACATGTATTTTTATTAAAGATCGATATCTCGGCAACATAGAGGTGTGTATTAAGAATTTTTGCATTGGTATAAAGATTTTATAATATACTATATTTTATCTATATACAGCAAAGTTCTGTGTCAAATAAACAATAGTCGAATAAACTTGAAAACAAAACAAAATTTATCAATTTTTGTTTAAAAATTTTATTTATTTGCATTTATGTTTCCTATGATCAAATTGAATGCCAATATTGTACCCAATTTCATCAAACACTATACAAAGTATTTTTTTAATATGTCTGATATACGATTACAGGCTGTACTTTCGCACACGAGTGTCATAAATCATGATATATAAAGCAAGTGATTTTGACTTCTATTTTCAGCCGTCTGCAAAACATGTAATATCAGTTCAGCATGCATTCAATTTCTTAGTTTATATATACACGAAACTCTATTATTTATGTCGATTATTTAATCCGAAGCTCCTTACAAAACGCGCCGCTTCACTGATCGCGATCACAAAAGACCGCAGCCGATCATCATAAACAAAGACTATTGTTTTCTGAGAGGGTTTAGAGGAGCCAGGCTAGGCATCCCATCCGGGCCAATATTCCCAAAACGGTATCGATCGATACGAGCAGTGTAAGCGGCTAACAATAAGTTTAACGTTGTCCCATATTTTCAAGTAGCTTCGACGTAGTTTCCATGCTTAGTATGAACTAAACACATACGGAAGCTGGGAGTAAATTTACACAAAATATCGATCTAATAACTTTATACAGAAGTTTTTGTTTTAAGGTTCCGAACCGTTTGATACAAAATTAAGATAAAGTAAGAATATGAGTATAGGATGTGCCACGAATCGAATTATTTGAATCGATCCCTTAACAACTTGATTCGAATCAACTAGTATCAAGCCGGGAAATATTGACTATGATACAATATATGAACATAAATTTTACTAAATACAAAATATTATAATTTTAAAGAATACAAATATAAATATAAAAGAATGAGTTAAATCAAACCAGCCACCCGAATTCAACCGACTGATTCGAGTTACTTGCATAATCCGAATGGAATCGAATCATTAGAGTTACTCGCATGATTCGAATTGCATCAAATCACCAGATCCTTACTAGATCATTATACCTATAGGTTTTCTGGAATGAGATATAGACTTGATACAAGTTGATTCAAATTATGATTCAAATCAGATTTTTTCTGATTCAAAGAATTTGAATTAGGATTTTTTGTGTCGGTATATCACTATACATTGTGTTCGCGCCAAAACGACAGCAGATGGTATGAGCAAAATACATTTGTAAGAATCGGACAAAACTAAATCTCTGGCCATTCCGAATTTAGAAGATTTGCATATAACGCTAATCATGAGCGTTTAGGCTCACGCTTGTTTGTGCATGTACGTTGTTCACTTGTTTTTTCGTATGAGTTTGTTGACTTTTCCGAGTGTTCGATATTATTTGTGTAAATAAATACTTTATTAATCGCAGCCAGTGTTCCTTAATTGTGCTTCTGAAGTCAATTTCTTCCTCAGCATCCAATTCCTACAGCGATCTTAGAATTCCGGACTTCAAGCCACCATCCGTCTGAGCCGCCGTACAGGCAGATAACATCAAGTATATCCTTAATATACTCAATTGTACAAAATCTTCGAAAGAGCTATTAAATTAAATTCAATAAGCTATTCCGAAAGGGTCTAACCAACCCCCATTCTTAACACATTGAATAAATATTGAGTAAATTTAAAGCAAATTTTACTAGTTCGATAGAAATATGTATTATAAAAAGAAGTAAATTAACAAAAACTTTTTTGCAAAGTGCTATTAGTGATGCGTTTAATTATTATGATTATAATAATTTAAAACTTAATAATAACACTTTAAATACAATCGATAAATGCTTATCAAACGATACAGAAAAAACCATATGAACCATTATATTAAGTTATCATATTATATATCGAACAAAAGCAAATTTTTGAATTAAAGCAAAATTTTGTAAACACTTTTATATCGATTACCTAAACTTTGTGTTTTTACTGTTCTCCTTGTAACCTTTCAATTTTTCGTCGGATTTAAATTAGGTGAACAAATTCCAACAAGCGATGTTATTTCATTTTGTTAATTATACAACCAAGCTTTGTTACACATTGTCGAAAATAGGTTTACTATGAATTAAAATTTCAAAAAATATATATCGGTGCTCCGTCTATGAAGTTTATGCATCGCAACTCCAACAAAGAGGTTTGCTCGTGAAAGAGTACGGAGACGGGTCCTGTGGAATATGCTTCCTGGTGCATAGGATGCATGCGAAAGATGTCCATATTTCTCTACGTGCATAATGAACTCGAATATGCACAATAATAGGCTTTATCTGAGCTTCAGAGTTATGTGAATACTTTACGCCGTGGCTTTTGTGCAATTTTGAGCGAGTTATGGATGCGCTTTTTAAAACAAAGTAGAGATACATAGTTGATTCAACAAAATGAAATATATGCGGTATTAGTTTTGTTAAAGTCACATATGAATGAAGTTCTAAAAGAATATATTATTTTTAGATCTTTATTAATACAAAACATAAAATTACATGTTTTTAAATTATAGTTACATACTGTTGACAAAGCGGAAAACAGGTAAACATAATTATATATGTTTTGTCGAGATATAAATCAAACTCGAGTTTCCCGCGTTCTGTTTTGATCCGTTATCACATGCGATACAATTTCGTCATCCAAAACTAACCGGACATTCACATTGCTTCGCCACCAGGCCCACCAAGGACCTAGTTGGCCCTTCATAAAACACAAATACAAATGAAATTAAATGAAATAATAAAATACATGAGAAGTTCATACATGACAGACAACTTGATTACAACATCCTGTCAAATGAATAAAGAAAAAAATAAATTAAAAATGGCTTTTCCATTAATTTTAGTAACATTTATATAAAAAACCGTACAATCTACACAATTATGGCGTACTTAGAAGAAAAATCTATTATTCGATTAAAATATGTAATAGAATAATGATTTATATTGATAAAATATAATTAAAAGTGTAAGCAATTGTGATCAAATATCAAGGGTTTATAGTGGAATCATGATGCAATTTTATTACAGCATATTATATATCAGTGTTTCCATAAAATAGCAGATACTATGAGTTTAGAATTTATTGATTAAGCAACAATTCTATTAGATAGACAGTTATTGATTAAGAGTTATATGAAGCTTATCGAATTTATAACTATATCAGTAAAAAGTTATCATCTTAGTCGTTCTTCAAAAATGAATCAAGCTTAAGTTTAAAAATACTG